ACTACCGTGGCTAAGTCAGACTTCCCAAGGTACGGTCGCAGTTGGCGCACAAGTTTTAACTGTGCGAAAGCTCCCCTGGTCACCGCCGAAACCTGGGGTTCCAGGCTCAGCGATGAATCCAGGATCACCCCCAAACTGCGAACCTGCGTCTTCAGGGGGAGTGCGACCCCATCCAACACAGGCTGTAACCCTATACCCTGTTCGGCCTTACGACTAACCAGGAGGACCTCTGTCTTGTCTGGATTCAATTTCAATTTGTTCGCCCCCATCCAGACCGTCACAGCGGCCAAGCACCGGTTCAGGACCTCGACAGCCTCCTTAGTAGCAGGTGGAAAGGAGTGACAGAGTTGGACATCATCTGCGTACAGATGACACCGCACCCGAAACTCCGGATGATCTCACCCAGCGGCTTCATGTAGATGTTAAACAACATGGGAGACAGTATTGAACCCTGAGGAACCCCACAAAACAAAGGTTGTGGGGTAGAACAGGAGTCCCCCAATAACACCTTCTGAGACCGACCCTCGAGGAATGACCGGAGCCACTGCAGAACAGTACCTCCGAGACCCATTCCCGCGAGGCGTCCCAGAAGGATACCGTGGTCGACGGTATCGAAGGCCGCTGAGAGGTCAAGCAGCACCAACAGGGACACACTCCCCCTGTCGAGCTCCCGACGCAGATCATCCACTAAGGCGACCAAGGCTGTCTCGGTACCATGCCCCGGCCTAAAGCCAGACTGTGCCGGATCTAGATAATCCGTGTCTACCAAGAATGCCTGGAGTTGTGAGGCCACCACACGTTCCATGACTTTGCCCAAAAAGGGGAGATTGGACACAGGCCGATAGTTGACGAATTGAGTGGGGTCCAATGATATCTTCTTCAACAGCGGTTTTATTACAGCTTGCTTTAAGCTGGCTGGAATTTTGCCTTCCCAAAGGGAGGCATTCACCACCGCCTTCACCCACTCGGCCAAACCCCCTCTGGCCTCCTTTAGAAGCCAGGATGGGCAGGGGTCTAGGATGCATGTGGTAGCTCTCATTCCTCCAAGCACCTTGTCCACATCCTCGGATTGAACCAATTGAAATGAATCCATCAAAACCGGACAAGCAGATGCTCGTGTTACATCCTCAGATACTGCCGTTAATATGGTATCCAGTCCAGAGCGGATCAAAGCGACTTTGTCTGCGAAGAACCGAGCAAAAGCTTCGCAGCGAGCTGCCGAGTCATCAGGGCACCCATCCTGAGTGGTGGGTTTTAATAGGCCTCTGACAACTCGGAACAGTTCAGCCGGACGGTTCTTCGCAGACGCAATAGTGGCCGCAAAGAAAGTTTTCTTTGCGGCCTTTATTGCCGTGACATATGCCCTTAAAAAGGACACAAACCGTGTTCGGTTTGGCTCGCTCGGATCCGAACGCCACACGCTCTCTAGTTCCCTCTTCTTTCACTTCAACGCTGCCAGCTCCTCGGTAAACCAAGGAGCTGGTTTAGCTCGGCTACTTGAGAGGGGACGTTCTGGAGCGATCGTGTCTATTGCCCTAGTCATCTCCCCATTCCAGAGAGCGACCAGAGCATCAACAGGATCACCAACCGCGGTGGCGGGAAAATCCCCAAGAGCCGTCAGGAAACCATCCGGATCCATAAGCCTCCTAGGGCGGACCAATTTAATGGGTCCTCCACCTCTGCGGAGGTTAGGGGGTGCAGCAAGTCTAAAACTGACCAGGTGGTGGTCGGTCCATGGCAACGGAGAGATGGATAACTCCTCAACACCGCCACCTTCCTCCCATCCCTGACAGAAAACCAAGTCCAATGTATGTCCAGCACTGTGGGTGGGGCCAGATACTTGTTGGGACAGCCCCATGGTTGCCATGGTAGACATGAAGTCCTGAGCCGCTCCCGAAGAGGTAGCCTCGGCGTGGATATTGAAGTCCCCCAGCACAAGCAGCCGTTGGGACTCCAACACCAGGTCCGAGACCACCCCCGCTAGCTCAGTCAGGGAGTCCGTAGTGCAGCGAGGTGGACGGTACACTAACAGAATCCCTAATCTGTCCCGGTCTCCCACCCTCAGGTGGACGCATTCAAATTTTGTTGACTGCGGGATGGGGGCCCTGGTCAGAAGAATGGTATCTCTATAGACCACTGCAACTCCGCCTCCCCGCCCTCCGGATCTCGGTTGGTGCTGCACAGAGAAACCTGGTGGGCAAAGCTGGGTTAAATTTACACCTCCCGCTTCGTCCAACCAGGTCTCTGTGATGCACGCCAGATCTGCCCGTTCATCCAGGATTAAATCCTGGATGAAAGTTGTTTTACCGTTGACAGATCTGGCGTTCAACAGCACCACTTTCAATTCGGAGGGACCGCCATCCTGGTTACACCGACTTACCATATCAGGAGACCGATTTGGGATTACTAAAGTTGTTCCCCGTTCCCTAGGTCGAATTAGAGGTCTTCCTTTCCCGTATCTCCCCCTCCCCACCACGACTTCTATGGGGGCTCCCCGGTTAACGGAACCCCCTCCTTCCTCCATGACGCAGTAAACAGCCAGCGTATCAACAAACAATGCATTATTGGCTGTTTGGTATATTGTGGTTACAGAGTGCCATAAACCTGTCCTCCATCCATTTCCTACTCCAGTTTTATAATGCTCAATTCCCGTAGGCCCACTCTGTTCCTTCTCTCCAACATAAACAATCAACACCAAGGTTAACAAGTACCGGGGGAAGGATGATGACATGAGTGGTAGGAATTAAGGCCTAACGGGAGAGTGTTCCCGAAGTTTTAAATGCAGATGGGTCATACAAGGTGGAATAAGTAATTAAAGTGCAATTGTTTCCTCAATCTGTTCTAAAGTGCTGGGGTAAAGTGCGTCATGGAGGGCCTCAATTCAATGCTAAATGGTACGTTAAGTCAAATTAAAGTGCTGAAGCTCACAGGTTGTTAGTTTAAATACCACTCAGATGGTAATAGTGGTAATAGAAACTACAACTAAAGTGCTAAACAAGTAAAGAACTAAACTACTCGTCAGCAATATCACTGTTAGTTCTTAAAGTCTTCTCCAATCACTAATATAGATGTTATTATTAGTGCAATGAGGATGGTCTGCACACTTAGTGACAATTCACAGAATCGGGAGAGATCAACACAGCAAGTAGTCAGCACAATCTGTGGCAGATTACACGGTCGAAAGGACGGCACAGAAGGAATTAGGAATTGGACAACACAAACTGTCAAAATTCTGTCTAAAAATGGGAGCCAGCAAAAAGCTACAGTAGTCGGGCCCAAAGATGGTCAATACAGTCTTCCGGGTTAATAATTAACAAATGAGAGATGAAGATCTCATACGATGGTAGTCTCATATGATGGCGGGAGGTTACCCACTCCTAGGCAAGATGGTCCAATTGCCCGCGGCTAGATGTACTGTTTGATGTCCGAAGGGGTTGGTCACTCCCAAACTAACGAAGGCTAATCAAGGCGGCTTACAAATTAGCAGCAATTCGATGCACATATTTCTGATAATATTACAATAGCATTGTAATAGTATTCTGATCCATCCTCTTTGAAAAGTAGAAATGTGGGAACTTTTGCCATCTAGATTTTTTTACTATAGCTCTCACTATCTCTTAATGTTGGCCATGCTGGCTGAGATTTCTATGAATTAAGATCAAAAACCTCTGGAGAACCAAAGACTCTGCATCTTGCTATACAAGGATGGATCAGAACAGAATTGTTCTACCATTACTTTCAGTAATGTCTGGTTGCTCCTGACACGATAAATAAAAATTACTTTCAGTCACAGAAAAACAGAAGGCATCTAATTTACATAGGGATAGACAGCTTTATGACTGATGAGAATATTGATGATTTCTCATGTCCTCTCCTGATTGCTTTCACAATACATACGAGAGGAAAGGCAATTTAGCATTAACCAGTTCTTGCAGGAGAGAACACAAGACTGAAACTGTGTGGTTAAGAACAGATGCCCTAAACCAGTGAATCACAGCTTCACATCTCTGCTTCGCTACAAAGCTCAGCTGAGGTTAATTCGGATCAATCACCTTTTGACTTAGGCTATGTTTGTTGTGAAAGAAAGCTAGAATAAAAATAAGATAATCTAAAACGGGTGATTGAAATTCTTGATTAGTAGAAGAGGTGCATGTAAAAGACTCCTCTCTGCTCTAACCAGCAGCAATGTTTAGCAACATTTGTAGGGTCACAGATTGACCACACGGTTGAAGAGGAATCCAGTAGGATCAAGGCTGGATAGCTATTAAGGTTTTAAATTAGCTTGAAGCTGACCTCATCACACTGAGATCATGGTGAGGGAAAGCATCTGGTAGAAGGATAACTGCAGAGATAAAGACAAACAGAGACAGACACACATTCATAACACAGAACACCCAATGGTGATATGTATGCTATTTCCTTTAAGCATATACATTACATATGTATTTATTTGAGCAATTAACCAAATCAGCAGATGCTTTCATTCCTTTCCCATATTAATGTTAAGATGATTTGACAAGTGTCCAGCTTGCCTGAATTAAGGAGAGAAATTTCCCACATCTCTCGAGCTACACCAAATCTTTTTATTTTTTTATTTATGGTATTTCTATGCTGCCTTTCTCAGACCGAAGGCTAATCAAGGCGGCTTACAAATTAGCAGCAATTCGATGCCACAATAGTCATAAAACACAATTAAAAACATTTAGCACACATTATAAAACAATGTAAATATCATTAAAAACATATTAATCCCCAGTGACTTCCTGTTAACTCATTTTCCAAAACCATTGTTTAACCATGTTCACTCTTTCCTGGTTCCATATTAATCTATTACACTGCGTTTCCAAAGACTTGTTCAAAGAGCCAGGTTTTGAGTAGATTACACAGTATAAAGATCTTGAGTATGTGACAAAGTACAGAGATCAATTTGTAGTAAGCCTTGTATATAACTACAATCTGTAATCACCAGAAGGATGTAAAAAAAGACAATGAAACAAGTGTGCGTTTCATATACATATTTATATATATTTCATGTACAAAGTTACATTCTGAACCCCCAAGGATTCAATAATAAATACTGAAATAACTTCACTGCTATATGAGCTTTCTGGCTCACAGAAAAGAAGCCTCAAGTTTTAAACAGACAGCAAGTTCAATGCTGCAGTATCCATCTCAAGGTTACAGAGGCAAGTAAAATTCAGCATAAAGTGTCTAGACAACATTTTCAAAAAATTAATGACCATAAAATGTTTTAAAACATGTTTAAAATATTAAGAAGTGTGCAGTAATGAAATTGTTAGAGGAAAAGAAAAATATCTAGTATACAGAAAAGTGTTTTGAGGTGCAACATAGGTTTGTTACAATATGGCATAACCCTGTTAGGAAAATGAAGTCAGCATCCACAAAGAATTGTGTTTTCAACTCTTGTCATTTTTACAAACGAAGGATCTTTACAAGATCCTTTACACATAGGGTCAATTGCATGAGTGCCAAGTCAGTATCAATCCTTTGGTAACTTTCATAATACTCACATGGAAATAAATATTCAGTTAAACATTTTCTTCAGGACACCATGTTCTTTAGAACAGTTAGCAATATTAGAAGATTATAAAACATTTCTTAGTTACTAAGGCAGCCTATGATAAAGTGTCTACACTCTGCCAGCTCTAACTGATCCAATGAAGGAAGAACTTACAAAAAAAGAACAAAATGGCAGGATATATAAACTTCATTTTACCTTTTTCCATGCAAGACACATTTACCCAAACAAATCATGTGCTGCATATTTTTTGTGCTTGAAATGTTCTCTCAAACTAGTAATGAAAGCTGTTAAATATCAAGAGATTCATTCCCTCTCCTGATTTTAGAACTATGAATACGTGATACATAAGACATTCTCAAAACAGATGTTTTTTAGGCAGCCATTTGATGCATGAGATTTAGTGAACTTCATTATCTACCATTAAAAGTGCTCTGGAACAGGGAGTGTATAAATTTCAGTGACTGGTGAAGACACCCACCTTCTAAATCTATTTTAGGACAGGGATACCTTTAGAAACAAGGACAGATAATGTGTGCCAGCCCCTTCTTTACACTTAATAGTCTCTGTTGGACTATTTTCGGCTATGAAACTGTATCAATAAGGACATAATGTCAGTTTACTCAATACATCTGGCAAGCCATTAAGCCATTAAACATGCTACCGAGGCACATCTATTGTCTTGACAGCAGTGAAGCACTTCACAAAAAGAGTTCAATGGTAGCTTTAAAACAGCATTACGAAAAAACACCATTTTGTAATCTTTTCCCAAGAATGCGAATGTGGCAATTCAGCCATCCAAGATGTGGAGAAGAGGCTCAATTTTTAAGTTAAAAAAAGCCAATCAATTTACAGAGCCTAGAAGGGCAACAAAGGAGATGGGCTCTTTCATCTACGAAGAGACAGTAGGCATTTCATCTGTACACACAATATTACCATTGGGCATGTACAGGTCAGCGTTTGTGGGGGGCGCTACAGAGTCATATCTCTTTGACAGCTGTACTTTAGGCACACATGATATTTTTTCCTGAAAGCCCTCACCAAACCATTTTTATATCATCTGATGGTGGAAAGGGCACACTTTTTGCATTTTCACGTTTGTGGGGCACAGTTTAGACAACAAAGGTTTTCAAAAGCCACAAGCTTATCTAGACGTTCCATAATGCTTTCAGATCAAAGTTCATTTCCTCACATTTTCTAAACCTAGCTGAGCCCACTGAATATTTTAAATAAATTTAACAATTTTGGCATATTAGAAGGGGGAAATCGACTATCAACAAATTAAGCATTCAATGATTTTAGCCACATAGGTTCATGGTCCAAATACATACTTATTAGAACTTATCAGTTGTGTACAAAATGTGGTGCTTAAAAAGTATTTTACATATAAATCTCTAATGAATAGTCCTGAATTGAATTGCACTGATTTTTAAAAACCAGATTAAGATGCTTATTCATTTTTAAAAAGCTGCCCAAATAAATATTTACACAACAGACTTCAGCTCAACATGAGTTTAACAAAATTATTATGTATATAAATACATGTTTTCTTGACTGATTTCAAACTGCTCCTATTGCATAAACATGTATAGACAGTTTTTCATGATAGTTTCTAGTGATTTTCAAGTTGTCATTTTAAACTGTTTTTGAAATTTGCTATTCTGTCACTTAAATATTAACTGCTCCCACATAATGGGAATAAACCAAGTCTCTTGGTGGGCAACACCCAAATTTTACAATTTCAATCTATATTTTCCAAGAAACTAAAGTCTGGGAAAGTTGATATACCTTTAAAGAATTAAAAATATAGAATTCATCATTGTTTGCCATCGACTGGATAATCATGAGCAAAGTAAAATGTATAGTGAGGAGACAGACTTAGTGTTTGTGGAGTAAATACTACTTTTCTTAGACTTAGGATAGACCCCCCAGATCTTATACAGTGGTGCTGTCCAATTAATGTCAGTGATTACATGGATGCCCATAACTTGCAACTCCTCTTATTAGGTTCACAGAAGAAAAATCTCTTAGCATTTTCATTAGGTTAATGGGCTATGTCATATATTTTTAATGAGGTAATTAGGACAAATTTTCCTTCATTGTTCCTTCTGAAATTAAAGCGCTTGGTTCCCTGTTTGAGTCAAGTGCCATGAATCTGACCAGAGTTCAAGATGGTAGGTGGGCAAAAAGAAGATAGGTTTATCTTCTGCTCAAGGCACATAAGAGGAGGTTGTAAATCATTCTAAGAATGCTATTTGGAATTAAACATAATGTTTCCAAGATTTCTCAAGTCAGGAGACTGGAGAAGAATGTATCCCACAAAATACCACAGTTGTCATGGTTAAGGAAAGCATTTCTCATTTTAACACTATTAGCAATTAAATATGAAACATATCACCTGTGTATTTCTGTATCATCTATTTCCATCTCATGGATCTTAATATGAACAAAGAGCACTCAATACACAAGAATAAACAAGATTGGCAGGATTCAGAAATGAAGAAGTAAAGACGTACACATTATTTTAGCCGCCACTAAGTGCACAGGATATAATGTGAAAATAATTCATTTGATATTTTTAAAATGCTATCTTGGAAATAACTTTGCTGCTCTATTCAATACATGTAGATTAATTCAGAATGTTTGCTCTAAAATTTTAACCTCAAATTGAAATACAAAGTGAAAGGAAATGAATTCTCTTACAAATTGTAGTGGCAGTTATGGGAAGTTGAATCTGAGAGACTAAATACCGTATTTCTCTCTCTGGGGAAACTGATTTGTTCTTGCTATGTAACACTGATGCAGTAAAACAGCATAAGCTAATTCCTGTATTGTTAAGGTTCGAGAGGTTTGTGATATAAAGTTAAAATGGCAAAGCAAAAACTTTATGCAGTGAAATGGGATCCACAAAAATAAAATGAAATCCAAAGACATGCAAAGGCATTTGCTGTCTTGAGCCACTTTGCAGAGGCTCATTCACTGCCACACATAACTTGCCACACTATCAGATGGCTCCTTTCAGCTTTGGCTACAGAAGGCTCTAGCTGCAATGTCTCTCCCAGGAGTTCTGATTCGCCAGCTTCATCACCTGGGAAGCAAAATGGAAAAGTGAAGGTGAGCAGGCAGGCATACCTGGAAGGAATTATGGGAAGGAGTGTAATTCCCTACTAAATTGTTGAGATCAACAGAATATACATATGTTTGCCCAAGAACTGAGATCTATTTGAGGGGTTCTGCTCTCTGTCCCAACAAGCAGGGGAAATAGGATCAAAAATCGTAAAATCATAGGGTTGGAAGAGACCACAAGGGCCATCCAGTCCAACCATCTGCCATGCAGGAACACACAACCAAAGCACTCCTGGCAGATGGACATCCAGCTTCCATTTAAAAGCCTCAAGAGAAGGAGACTCTGCCATATTCTGAGGCAGCATTTCTTTTCTTGCTGTTTGAATATATTGCTCCATTGTGTTCTGCAGCCACATCATCTGCAGTCTTCTCTTCATCTTCTCCCCATTTCTTTATGCTGCCAAAACTGAGTCCCACAGAGACCATCACATGACATAAGGCAACTTCTGGCAGGACTCCATGGGGCAGCATAGAGAAACAGAGCCCATACCTTCTTTTGAGGAGTCGGGTGTTATCCAACTTCTAATTGGAAATATGAAGAGGAATCAGGAAAAGGATGGGAAACAACATGGGATGGGATGTCATTCCAGAAGACAGGGACAGATGGCAGAGAATGAAGGAGGGATGGTTTCTTGCACTTTCCCCCTGCCTGTCAGGTGAGTCTCTAGGCTTCAGGGCAGCAGAAAACAAACTTGTCCCCTCCTCAATGTGATATCATTTCAAATATTTAAACATGGCTATCCTGCCCCTCTCAGTTTTCTCTTCTCCAAGCTAAACATACCCAGCTCCCCAAGCCGCTCCTCATTGGGCTTGGTCCCCTGACCTTTGACCATTTTGGTTGCCCCTCTCTGGCCATGTTCCAGCTTGTCAATAACCTTCCTAAATTGTGGTGCCCAGAGCTGGACACAGATTTCAGGTGCAGTCTTGACCAAGGCAGAAAAAACTGGGACTATGACTTCCTTTGATCTAGACATTATATTGTTATTGATGCAAAATATACCAGTAATTCCATTGGTTTTTTTAGTTGCTGCACTACACTGTTCAGCTTATGATCTGAAACTCCCAAATCCCTCTCAGATGTACTCTTTACAAAAAAGCTGTCACACATCCTATATCTGTGCATTTCATTTTTTCTGCCTAAGTGTAGTACCGTACATATCTCTTTGTTGAAATTCATTTTGTTAGTTTAGGCCTAGCTCGCTAGTCTAGATTCGGATGCTGTCCCTCCCAATTTGGTGTCATCTGCAAGTTTGATAAATACATTGTGGAAGGACATAGGAATGCCTTCTCTGTAGTCGCGCCTTAATTGTAGAACTCACTCCCCTTGAAGACCCAACTGGCAACAACATTAGAATTATTTCAAAGTCCAAGGTAATACAGGCAGTCCCCAAGTTACATATATTCGACTTACAAACAACTCATAGTTAAGAATGGGGGTGAGACAACAAGGAGAGAAATCTACCTCTAGAAAGGGAATTCACTCCTGAAAATGTTATCATGGAGAAAAGCCAATCAACTGGAGCTTTGCTGCCAATCCTTGTTTCCACAACAAACCGATTTTTTCAAAATCCCATTATCACAGAGACAGAAAGTGTGGTGAAATCTTCTCAACAGGGGCATAGCCAGCAAAACAAACACAACAGAGGTGTTAGCCTTTCCCTAACGTGTATGTGTGTATGGCAGGAGTTACACTTTTAAAAAAAAACTTTTCCAACTTACATACATATTCAACTTAAGAACAACCTACTAGGCCTGGGCGGTTTCGTTCGTTAATTCGTTAATTCGTTAATTATTCGTTATTTTTAGCATTTACGAAACGATAACAAAACACATTTTCAAACCCGGAAGGGTTTAAAAATAACGAAGCGCATCCCCCATCCTTTTAACGAGCTTCCGCCCGTTTCGGAAATGGGATGGAGGATGCTGGTGCCTGGGAGCCAATCCGGCGCTCCCAAGCACCCAAGCAGTGCACCGTGGCTGTGTCTGATTGGCCGGCAAGGCCTTTAAAAGCGGCTCCGCGGGGCCGCAGAGCTCATTTGTTGCGCGGAGGCGAGGGAGGAGAGAGGTCTGGGAGGGCTGCTTGCTTTGGGTTGGCTTGGTTGCGGTAGCAAAAAGACTTGCATTGGGTTGGCTTGAGACTCTTCTGTTGGTGTGTGCTTTTGGCTGTCTTTTGGCTGTGTTAGCTTTAGATTAATTTTCCATTTCTGAATATTTTCTAAAAATACCTGCCTTTTATTCTTAAAAAAAATACAAAAAATATTCCAAAAAAAGAAAAGACTCTTTTGTTGGTGTGTGCTCTCATTGCCCTGTCTCCTGCCTGTGTTAGCTCTACATCAGGGCCAGTTTAGTTAATTTTCCATTTCTGAATATTTTCTAAAAATACCTGCCTTTTATTCTTAAAAAAAATACAAAAAATATTCTAAAAAAGAAAAGACTCTTCTGTTGCTGTGTGCTCTCATTTGCCCTGTCTCGTGGCTGTGTTTGGTCCACATCAGGGCCAGTTTTTGGTTAATTTCCATTTTTGAATATTTTCTAAAAATACCTGTCTTTTATTCTTAAAAAAATACAAAAAATATTCCAAAAAAAGAAAAGACTCTTCTGTTGGTGTGTGCTCTCATTTGCCCTGTCTCGTGGCTGTGTTTGGTCCACATCAGGGCCAGTTTTTGGTTAAGTTTCCATTTCTGAATATTTTCTAAAAATACCTGCCTTTTATTCTTAAAAAAATACAAAAAATATTCCAAAAAAAGAAAAGACTCTTTTGTTGGTGTGTGCTCTCATTTGCCCTGTCTCGTGGCTGTGTTTGGTCCACATCAGGGCCAGTTTTTGGTTAAGTTTCCATTTTTGAATATTTTCTAAAAATACCTGCCTTTTATTCTTAAAAAATACAAAAAATATTCTTAAAAAGAAAAGACTCTTCTGTTGCTGTGTGCTCTCATTTGCCCTGTCTCGTGGCTGTGTTTGGTCCACATCAGGGCCAGTTTTTGGTTAATTTTCCATTTTTGAATATTTTCTAAAAATACCTGCCTTTTATTCTTAAAAAATACAAAAATATTCTAAAAAGAAAAGACTCTTCTGTTTCTGTGTGCTCTCATTTGCCCTGTCTCGTGGCTGTGTTTGGTCCACATCAGGGCCAGTTTTTGGTTAATTATCCATTTCTGAATATTTTTTAAAAATACCTGTCTTTTATTCTTAAAAAAATACCCAAAATATTCTAAAAAAGAAAGACTCTTCTGTTGGTGTGCTCTCATTGCCCTGTCTGTGGCTGTGTTTGGTCCACATCAGGGCCAGTTTTTTGGTTAATTTTCCATTTTTGAATATTTTCTAAAAATACCTGTTTTATTCTTAAAAAAATAACAAAAAATATTCTAAAAAAGAAAAGACTCTTCTGTGGTGTGTGCTTTTGCCCTGTCTTTTGGCTGTGTTAGCTCACATCAGGGCCAGTTTTTAGATTAATTTTCCATTTCTGAATATTTTCTAAAAATACCTGCCTTTTATTCTTAAAAAAATACAAAAAATATTCCAAAAAAAGAAAAGATTCGTTTGTTGGTGTGTGCTCTCATTTGCCCTGTCTCCTGCCTGTGTTAGCTCTACATCAGGGCCAGTTTTTATAATTTTCCATTTCTGAATATTTTCTAAAAATACCTGCCTTTTATTCTTAAAAAATACAAAAAATATTCTAAAAAAAGAAAAGACTCTTCTGTTGGTGTGTGCTCTCACTTGCCCTGTCTCGTGGCTGTGTTAGCTGTTCATCAGGGCCAGTTTTTGGTTAAGTTTTCCATTTTTGAATATTTTCTAAAAATACCTGCCTTTTATTGTTAAAAAAAACCCAAAATATTCCAAAAAAAGAAAATACTCTTCTGTTGGTGTGTGCTCTCATTTGCTGTCTCCTGCCTGTGTTTGGTCCACACATCAGGGCCATTTTTTGGTTAAGTTTCCATTTCTGAATATTTTCTAAAAATACCTGCCTTTTATTCTTAAAAAAATACAAAAAATATTCCAAAAAAAGAAAAGACTCTTCTGTTGGTGTGTGCTCTCTGTCCTGTCTCCTGCCTGTGTTAGCTCTACATCAGGGCCAGTTTTTGGTTAATTTTCCATTTCTGAATATTTTCTAAAAATACCTGCCTTTTATTCTTAAAAAAAATACAAAATATTCCTAAAAGAAAAGACTCTTCTGTTGGTGTGTGCTCTCGATTGCCCTGTCTCGTGGCTGTGTTAGCTCTACATCAGGGCCAGTTTTTGGTTAATTTTCCATTTCTGAATATTTTCTAAAAATACCTGCCTTTTATTCTTAAAAAAAATACAAAAAATATTCCAAAAAAAGAAAAGACTCTTTTGTTGGTGTGTGCTCTCATTTGCCCTGTCTCGTGGCTGTGTTTGGTCCACATCAGGGCCAGTTTTTGGTTAAGTTTCCATTTTTGAATATTTTCTAAAAATACCTGCCTTTTATTCTTAAAAAAAAAACAAAAAATATTCCAAAAAAAGAAAAGACTCTTCTGTTGGTGTGTGCTCTCCTTTTGCCCTGTCTCGTGGCTGTGTTTGGTCCACATCAGGGCCAGTTTTTGGTTAAGTTTCCATTTTTGAATATTTCCTAAAAATACCTGTCTTTTATTCTTAAAAAATACAAAAAATATTCTTAAAAAGAAAAGACTCTTCTGTTGCTGTGTGCTCTCATTTGCCCTGTCTCGTGGCTGTGTTTGGTCCACATCAGGGCCAGTTTTGGGTTAATTTTCCATTTTGAATATTTTCTAAAAATACCTGCCTTTTATTCTTAAAAAAAATACAAAACATATTCCAAAAAAAGAAAAGACTCTTCTGTTGGTGTGTGCTCTCATTTGCCCTGTCTCCTGCCTGTGTTAGCTCTACATCAGGGCCAGTTTTTGTTAATTTTCCATTTCTGAATATTTTCTAAAAATACCTGTCTTTTATTCTTAAAAAAATACAAAAAATATTCTAAAAAAGAAAAGACTCTTCTGTTGCTGTGTGCTCTCATTTGCCCTGTCTCGTGGCTGTGTTTGGTCCACATCAGGGCCAGTTTTTGGTTAAGTTTCCATTTCTGAATATTTTCTAAAAATACCTGCCTTTTATTCTTAAAAAATACAAAAAATATTCTAAAAAAGGAAAGACTCTTCTGTTGCTGTGTGCTCTCATTTGCCCTGTCTCGTGGCTGTGTTTGGTCCACATCAGGGCCAGTTTTTGGTTAAGTTTCCATTTTTGAATATTTTCTAAAAATACCTGTCTTTTATTCTTAAAAAATACAAAAAATATTCTAAAAAAGAAAAGACTCTTTTGTTGGTGTGTGCTCTCGATTGCCCTGTCTCGTGGCTGTGTTTGGTCCACATCAGGGCCAGTTTTTGGTTAATTTTCCATTTTTTAATATTTTCTAAAAATACCTGTCTTTTATTCTTAAAAAATACAAAAAAATATTCTAAAAAAGAAAAGACTCTTCTGTTGGTGGGTGCTCTCATTTGCCCTGTCTCGTGGCTGTGTTTGGTCCACATCAGGGCCAGTTTTTGGTTAAGTTTCCATTTTTGAATATTTTCTAAAAATACCTGCCTTTTATTCTTAAAAAAAAAATACAAAAAATATTCCAAAAAAAGAAAAGACTCTTCTGTTGCTGTGTGCTCTCATTTGCCCTGTCTCCTGCCTGTGTTAGCTCTACATCAGGGCCAGTTTTTGGTTAATTTTCCATTTCTGAATATTTTCTAAAAATACCTGTCTTTTATTCTTAAAAAATACAAAAAATATTCTAAAAAAGAAAAGACTCTTCTGTTGCTGTGTGCTCTCATTTGCCCTGTCTCGTGGCTGTGTTTGGTCCACATCAGGGCCAGTTTTTGGTTAAGTTTCCATTTTTGAATATTTTCTAAAAATACCTGCCTTTTATTCTTAAAAAAAATACAAAAAATATTCCAAAAAAAGAAGACTCTTTTGTTGGTGTGTGCTCTCATTTGCCCTGTCTCCTGCCTGTGTTAGCTCTACATCAGGGCCAGTTTTTGGTTAATTTTCCATTTCTGAATATTTTCTAAAAATACCTGCCTTTTATTCTTAAAAAAAAATACAAAAAATATTCCAAAAAAAAAAAAAGACTCTTCTGTTGGTGTGTGCTCTCATTTGCCCTGTCTCCTGCCTGTGTTAGCTCTACATCAGGGCCAGTTTTTGGTTAATTTTCCATTTTTTAATATTTTCTAAATATACCTGCCTTTTATTCTTAAAAAATACAAAAAATATTCTAAAAAAGAAAAGACTCTTCTGTTGGTGTGTGCTCTTTTGTCCTGTCTCGTGGCTGTGTTTGGTCCACATCAGGGCCAGTTTTTGGTTAAGTTTCCATTTTTGAATATTTTCTAAAAATACCTGCCTTTTATTCTTAAAAAAAAATACAAAAAATATTCCAAAAAAAGAAAAGACTCTTTTGTTGGTGTGTGCTCTCATTTGCCCTGTCTCGTGGCTGTGTTTGGTCCACATCAGGGCCAGTTTTTGGTTAAGTTTCCATTTTTGAATATTTTCTAAAAATACCTGCCTTTTATTCTTAAAAAAAAAATACAAAAAATATTCCAAAAAAAGAAAAGACTCTTTTGTTGGTGTGTGCTCTCATTTGCCCTGTCTCGTGGCTGTGTTTGGTCCACATCAGGGCCAGTTTTTGGTTAAGTTTCCATTTTTGAATATTTTCTAAAAATACCTGCCTTTTATTCTTAAAAAAATACAAAAAATATTCTAAAAGAAAAGACTCTTCTGTTGCTGTGTGCTCTCATTTGCCCTGTCTCGTGGCTGTGTTTGGTCCACATCAGGGCCAGTTTTTGGTTAAGTTTCCGTTTTTGAATATTTTCTAAAAATACCTGCCTTTTATTCTTAAAAAATACAAAAAATATTCTAAAAAAGAAAAGACTCTTCTGTTGGTGTGTGATCTCATTTGCTGTCTCCTGCCTGTGTTTGCTCTACATCAGGGCTAGTTTTTGGTTAATTTTCCATTTCTGAATATTTTCTAAAAATACCTGTCTTTTATTCTTAAAAAATACAAAAAATATTTTAAAAAAAAGAAAAGACTCTTCTGTTGCTGTGTGCTCTCATTTGCCCTGTCTCGTGGCTGTGTTTGGTCCACATCAGGGCCAGTTTTTGGTTAATTTTCCATTTCTGAATATTTTCTAAAAATACCTGTCTTTTATTCTTAAAAAAATACAAAAAATATTCCAAAAAAAAGAAAAGACTCTTCTGTTGGTGTGTGCTCTCATTTGCCCTGTCTCGTGGCTGTGTTAGCTCTACATCAGGGCCAGTTTTTGGTTAATTTTCCATTTCTGAATATTTTTTAAAAATACCTGCCTTTTATTCTTAAAAAAAATACAAAAAATATTCCAAAAAAAGAAAAGACTCTTCTGTTGGTGTGTGCTCTCATTTGCCCTGTCTCGTGGCTGTGTTAGCTGTACATCAGGGCCAGTTTTTGGTTAATTTTCCATTTCTGAATATTTTCTAAAAATACCTGCCTTTTATTCTTAAAATACAAAAAATATTCTAAAAAGAAAAGACTCTTCTGTTGCTGTGTGCTCTCATTTGCCCTGTCTCGTGGCTGTGTTTGGTCCACATCAGGGCCAGTTTTTGGTTAAGTTTCCATTTTTGAATATTTTCTAAAAATACCTGCCTTTTATTCTTAAAAAAAATAAAAAAAATATTCCAAAAAAAGAAAAGACTCTTCTGTTGGTGTGTGCTCTCATTTGCCCTGTCTCGTGGCTGTGTTTGGTCCACATCAGGGCCAGTTTTTGGTTAAGTTTCCATTTTTGAATATTTTCTAAAAATACCTGCCTTTTATTCTTAAAAAAAAATACAAAAAATATTCCAAAAAAAGAAAAGACTCGTTTGTTGGTGTGTGCTCTCATTTGCCCTGTCTCCTGCCTGTGTTAGCTCTACATCAGGGCCAGTTTAGTTAATTTTCCATTTTTGAATATTTTCTAAAAATACCTTGCCTTTTATTCTTAAAAATACAAAAAATATTCTAAAAAAGAAAAGACTCTTCTGTTGGTGTGTGCTCTCATTTGCCCTGTCTCGTGGCTGTGTTTGGTCCACATCAGGGCCAGTTTGTTAATTTTCCATTTCTGAATATTTTCTAAAAATACCTGCCTTTTATTCTTAAAAAAATACAAAAAATATTCCAAAAAAAGAAAAGACTCTTCTCTTTTGAATATAAT